AGAGGCTTTTGAGTGTTTGAAGGAGAAACTGGTCAAGGCATCGGTGGCAGTAGCTCCTGACTGGTCTTTGCCTTTTGAGATTATGTGTGATTCTAGTGATTTTGCAGTAGGATCCGTTCTTGGGCAGCGTCGAGAGAAACATTTTTAGCCTATTTCTTATGCTTCTAAGACTCTCGATAGTGCCCAAGAAAAATACACTACCACCGAGAAAGAATTGCTTGCTGTTGTGTTTGCTCTTGACAAGTTTCGTCCTTATTTGATTTTGTCTAAGGCAGTGATATTCACCGATCATTCTGCTCTTAAATATTTGATGCAAAAAGTGGATGCCAAGCCTAGATTGATCCGGTGGATATTACTACTCCAGTAGTTTGATATTGAGATAAGGGATAAGAAAGGGGCTGAGAATTTAGCAGTTGATCACTTGAATAGGTTAGAAAACCCCTTTCTTGATTCCCTGAGTGAGAGAGATATTGAGGGTACTTTTCCTGATGAGAGACTTTTGAGGATCGTTGATGAGGTGCCTTGGTTTTCTGACATCGCCAACTATCTTATTGGGGGTGTTGTCCCTTCTGATTATACACCTCATCAACGAAGAATTTTTTTTGCTGATTTGAAGTATTATTTCTGGGAGGAACCATATTTGTTTCATATTTGTGCTGATCAGGTTGTTAGAAGATGTGTTCCCCTTAGTGAAGGAGTTGAAATTCTTAAACATTATCACTCCGGACCGACTGGGGGACACTATTCTTTTAATCGGACAGCTCGTAAGGTGTTGGAATGTGGTTTCTTCTGTCCCACTTTGTTTAAAGATGCTCTAACTTTTGTGCAGGAATGTGACAGGTGTCAACGCACCGGGGCGGTTACCAACACTACAAGAAAAGTGCACATAGACTGCACATGGACCACATTTTTTTTTGCGATGGCAGCATAACTGTTGTTAAAAACACCATTAACCACACATTTTTTTATTTACTACACACAAAAATGTGGTAAAAGCTTAGAGACAACAGTTTTTAACCGTGACCAATGTTTTTACCACAGCTGTTGTGCCGACGCACGTAAAACTGTCGCAAAACTGTCGTAAAAACGTAAGGAGGATCATTTACGACAGTTTTGCGTCAGTTTTATGTGCGTCGCCACAACAGCCGTGGTAAAAACATTGGCCACAGTTAAAAACTGTCGTCTCTGACCTTTTACCACAGTTTTGTATGTGGTAAATAAAAAATGTGTGGTTAATAGTGTATTAGTGTTTTTAACGATAGTTATGTGGTTATCGCAATTTTTTTTTTGTCTATGTGCGGTCTATGTGCACTTTTTTCTTGTAGTGCAAGAGGGATGAGATGCCCCAGAATTTTATATTGGCTTGTGAGGTATTTGATGTATGGGGCATTGACTTCATGGGGCCGTTCCCGGGTTCTAAAGGTAACAAATTCATTCTTGTTGCTGTGGATTATGTTTCTAAGTGGGTTGATGCTGAAGCTCTACCCACAAATGATGCTAGAGTTGTGATTCGTTTTCTGAAGAAATTGTTTTCTAGATTTGGAGTGCCACGAGTTTTGATAAGTGACAGGGGTACCCACTTTAGGAATGATTACAGGGGTGGCGGACTGTTTCGGGGATTTTGGACAAATCACGGCGGAGCAGAACCGGCTACTACTACGGGATATCAGCCCCGAGAAAGTGAGGTTGGCTATTTTTTATATGCACCCTGAGAAAGCTCCATGATCTGATGGTATGAATCCTACTTTTTTTCAAAAATACTAGGATATTGTTGGGCCGGAAATATCTAGGCTTTGCTCTAATATTTTTACTACATGAATTATCCCGAGAGAATTTAATGTGACAAATCTTGTTTTAATTCCTAAAAAAGATAAGCCTGGAGATATGGAGGATTGGAGACTTATTGTGTTATGTAACGTGTTTTATAAAATTTTCTCTAAGGGTTTAGCTAACAGATTAAAGATCTTGTTGGGAAATCTTATTGGAGAAAACCAGAGTGCTTTTGTTCCAAGCCGGTCTATTGTGGATAATGTAGTTGTTGCTTTTGAAACTCAACATTTTTTGAAAAGAAAATGTAGTGGCAAAGAGGGGTATGTTGCCTTGAAACTTGACATGAGCAAAGCTTATGATAGAGTGGGCTGGGACTTTTTATGTGTGATTATGATCCGTATGGGCTTTGATGTGAGATGGGTGAATATGATTATGGAATGTGTAGCGACTGTCAGCTACTATGTACAGTTTGAGCGGGATTTCTTGGGCCCGATCATTCATGGGCGCGGCTTGAGGCAAGGGAACCCCTTGTCTCCTTATCTCTTTATTATGGTGGCGGAAGGGCTGAGCGCTTTACTGAAGAAGGCGGAGGCCTGGGGTGATGTACACAGGGTGGCGGTTTGTAGGGGGTACCTAGAGTCTCACACCTCTTGTTTGCAGATGACAGCTTCCTGTTCTTCAGAGCTACTAGTGAGGAGGCAGTAGTTGTTAAAAATATTTTATCTTTTTATGAGGAGAATGCAGGGCAAACTGTGAATTATGTGAAGTCATTTTTGTCTTTTAGCCAGAATATTGGGGAGCACTTTAAGGTAGCATGTTGCAGCATTTTTGGGATTCCGATGGTAGGGGGTCAAAGCCGGTATCTACGCCTACCAACACTTGTGGGAAGGAATAAGTCTGCTATTTTAGGCTACCTAAAAGACAAAATTTTCAATAGAATTAAGAAATTGAACATCAAATTTTTATCCAGAGCAGGTAGAGCGGTTCTATTAGAAAATGTGGTTGAGGCTATGCCTAACTATGCCATGAATGTGTTTCTTCTGCCGAATAATTTATGTGACGAAATTGAGAAATTAATGAATGACTTTTGGTGGAGGGGCACAAAATTTGAGCAAAAGGGCTTGAGGTGGAGAAGATGGGAGGTTCTTTGTAAGCCAAAAAACTTGGGGGGCTGGGCTTTCGAAGAATAAGAGGATTTAATCTGGCAATGTTAGCTAAGCAGGGGTGGAAGCTGATGACGGAACCATCCAGTATGATGTGCAGAGTGCTGAAGACCAGGTATTTTCCGAACTCGGACTTTTTACATGCTCAAGTTGGGAATAACCCTTCTTTCATTTGGCGTAGTATTTTTGAGACACAATCTTTTCTCAAAAATGATATCCGAAGGAGAGCAGGGAATGAGATCGATGTGCAGGTTTGGTCTGATGCTTGGCTCCCGAGAGAGGGGCCGGGAAGAGTTACACCTGCTAAACCACCAGGGAATAGAGACATGAATGTTGCAGCACTGCATGATATCACAGGAAAGAAGTGGAACAGAGAGAGACTTGCTAATATTTTTATTGAAGAAGATAGGAGGAAGATTATGAGTATCCTTATTAGTTCTTATGACAGGAAGGATGATTATTGGTGGAATGGGGAGAATAGTGGCATTTTTCTGTCAAGAGCTGTTACCGGTTACTTACAGGGGAGCTGCAGACTGGAGATGGGACTAACTGGGCGTGGCTATGGGATTTATATATTCCGCCGAAACTTAAATTTTTTGCTTGGCAGGTTACTAATGGCTCTCTCCATACGGTTGATAATTTGTGGGGAAAAAGGAGTATAGGTACACGAAGGGTGTAAGGCGTGCGGAGATGATAATGAGATGACAGATCATGCGTTTCGTTTGTGGGATCAAGCAAAGGAGGTCTGGAGACAGGTGGGAGTCGATTTGGGTCATCTGGCGGACTCTGTGGCTACATGGATCTGGGGGAGGAACAAACGAGGAAGATCGATGCAAATTCATCGCTATTCTATGGAGCCTCTGGAAGAGAAGGAATGGATGTGTCTGGAAAGATAGGTTGCAGGGGACTGCGGGGGTTCTCAATGTGGCGGCAGGCATAATATCAAGCTGGAGAGATGCTCATGATGCTGGGCGAACGGAGCAGGTAAGGAAAGAAGCTAGCTCCTTGACAGTTTGGAAACGACCACAGCATGGCTATGTCAAGATTAATGTGGATGGGGCGGTGGACGAGGATAAAAATATTCGGGCCTGGGGGTGGGTTGTGCGAGACCATCATGGTGACTTCATTAAAGCGAAAGGGGCTTCAGAACTAGCTAATTGGTCGGTGGCGGAAATGGAGGCGGTAGGTGTTTGGGATGCTCTGATTGGGGCGGTCGAAGCAGGCTCGTCACACGTGGAGATTGAGACTGATGCGCTCTCGGTGGTCCAGGGTCTCAAAAATGGGGGAGGTTCCTCTTATCTCTTCCTTATTCTAGATGATATTAGAAATTTGTTGAAAACAAAGAGTAATTTTGTTGTCTCTTTCTGTAAGCGATCTACGAATCGTGTTGCCCATGCGTTAGCAAGAGCACATGTTGTTATCTCAGATCAGTCTTGTTGTTATGATTTTTGCTCTGGACTCTATTGTAAGCCTTCTGGCACACGATTTGGTGAATTAATATATCAGTCAGTTGGAGTTTAAAAAAAAGGAGTATTAGATATACAAGTATTCTATAAAAAAAATTATTTATTTTTATTGTTTTTTCTGGAAAAAAGACACAAATATTACTTATAACTTTGTGAAATACAAAAAGTGACTAATCTTTATTTTTTTCCAAACATATGACTAACATTTTATTTAAACAATCCAATTCTTTTTCTCATTGTAATTTATATCTAATATGTGCCCCATTCCCACCTTCACACTTGCCTAGCCTCCGCCGATAACCGCCTTTGGAATTATCCCTCAAACTGCCGCCATAAAAGGCGTTGAATTTTATTGATGTTTTTTTCATTTTTTATCCCCCTAAATTAGCCAGAAGAAAATTGTTGAATATCTCCGACGGACATCAACATGTCTTAAAACGACGGTGACATCCAACCGTGACATGAAAATCTGACAATGGGCAATCCAGCTTGGGTACACATTTTCATACACACACCTACACACTCATGTTTGTGAAGAGTATTTTTTTGTCTATATATAGACATAACACATTTTCAAATACTTTATGTCTGTATACAGACAAAAAAATACTCTTCACAAACATTAGTGTGTAAGTGTGTGTATGAAAAATGTGTACCAATAGATTTTTTTGATTAATGTAAACTCCCCCATGTCCGAAGTCCCAGGTGGCGGCCAGGCCCTAGTCATTCACAGGGCGGAGACCGGTACGAAACTACCAGTGTAATTTCACTGTCGAGCCTATCACCGGCGCTTTGCAGTCACCACGAGCGGGTGGTAAGCTCTTCTTCTTCTCGCCAATCTCCATTAACAGTTAAAATTTCTTAACTCCTAGCTGATTTTTTGTTAGGAAGTTATTGAATTGTGTTTTAAGGGATTTTTTTAATCCATGTCCAGAGTACATCATGGACAATTATAATTTGTTGTATTCTACTGTATTAAACACTACGCGATTGATTCAATGGATGACTGGCAATCGGCAAAAGTCTTTTTTTTCAAGATCTGCACTAAAAAATTACCTTCCTTGCGATTGACAAACCTGGGGCTGCGTAGAACAAAACGATACTTTTGTTATTCCATGTTTGGTAGAATTAAAATCATACTCTCATTATTCCATGAATTAACCGGTTGGAACATAAATTTTGTATATAATTTTGTAGAGTTATTTAAGCACCAATACTTGGTGCTTTGTAAAATCAATTTGTTTCTATGAAAAGTTTGAGTTCTATCTTTGCATGAAGAATGTTTCCACCAATTTGTACCACTTTATCCTCCTAGTTGTATATTGGATGCCTTGCACCATAATTCTACAAATAAGTTACTCTGCAATATTCCCTGCATATCACTTTAAGGGCCCATTTGGTATGATGTAAAGTAAACAGTTCGCACGCGAAGTGTAGGAAGGTAAACATTTTACACCGTTTGTTTTAATTATTTAATGCAAACTATAGGACATTTTTTTCAAAACATTTCACACTGTACTACGTAAAATATTTTACGTGGGGGGGGGGGGAGGTTGTAACTTGTAAACTATTACGACTTCTTGCCCTACGGTTAACGACTGGAGTGTGGCGGCAACCAAAAAAGTTGGCCGCAATCTACACTCCTCTTCTATATAAGAAGCTAAAATCGGCAAACCCAAATGGTTTTGTGCTTGCCGTTTTTAATAACTACTACCTGGTTTATTCTTTATTTATAATATTTTATATATAGTATCCCCTCCCCCAGACCCCCCTGGAGTAAAAAAAAATGTATAGTATATATACGTATATATAAACCATCGGTAGAAGTTTAATTTGCTGAATAAGGTATGTCGTCATTCTCTAAATATTTTATATGTAAAGTTATATTCCAAGCAAACAATTATAAAAAGTATTTTTAAAAATAGATTACACACTTAGCCAAACAATGTATTTCTATTTTACATGTAAACTAATTACCGCCCTACACTTTACATGTAATCATTTTGCATGTAAAGTTTTAATGTGTAAACTACCAAATGGGCCCTAATTGTCTGGTATTCCTTTTCGGGTTGTATCAAATTAGTTGTCACATTTCCATTTTGGGAATGAAAAACTACACTAAAAGCAGCTACAGTATAAAAAACTATGTGAAAAGCCTATTATCTTAAGTCTTAACTATGAGTGTACTTTGTAAAATTACAGTATACCCATAACATGATCTTAAACTACATGAAAAGTCTATTGTGACCATTCCAATGATACGGAGGGAGTATTATTTTCTTCTCATAAAAAACTATTTTTGTGATTCTTTCATTTGAAACGAGTGAGAATTGAGAAAGACATAGAATAGAAATTGCAATGCAACCTTCAATATTACTAATGAAAGGGTTGTAAAAGGTAAAGAATAGGATAAATCTGTGAATTTCATGATTGCTGGAGATATCTTATGTTAATAATCCTTACTCGTATGATTTATCAATGCATAGTTATATTTTTTATAATTATGTGATGCCCCATGTTTCATTTCCTGTGTGTTCCGATTCCATGCTACTTTGGTAGTTCGAACAAAATACACCAATTTGCTTGACATTAAGCCATTAAGGAATACATGAAATATACTCAACTCTATTTTTTTAAATTTAACCCAAATCATTTCACTCGGATAAATTTGAGTAAATTTTACCTCTGCAAAATTTTCTGACCCTTTTTCTCTATATACCATTGTCTTTTATTTGTACTTCTTGCTTGTCCCAGCTTCTTTTAAAATAATACACATGTATCGCTGGTTATACATATCCTACATTTTTTATCCCCACTCGCCCTTCAAACTTTTTATATTCTCTTTCTCTTTTCATACTCTATTTACTATTGCTAATATAGTATTCTTAAGTTCTATCGTATAAAAAAGCCTAAAAGCTGACTAGCCTAATGGGCTTGGACCCTTGGCTCGCTCTCCTTTAGTTCTTTCAGTAACCTTAAAATACAAACTTTTATTTTCCCGAGTTTACCGCTGATAGTGCATAGAAGATAAGTTTTTGTTACAATATTTAAATATATTTTGTTCAACTGTTCAAGGTAAAATGAGTGACGTGAGTATACTGAATTATCACTGTTTTCCTTTGTGTGACGTATTGTGTATTAAGTATTTTCCACCTTGAGTGTCAGCAGGTGTCACAATGTCTTCTTCGTTCTTTACAGTTCAAGTTAGACAGAATGGAAGCACTCATGTCTCAAACTTACTCAGTTGGAAAGGATGAATTCTTTGAACGATCATATGTATTCGTAGAAGGCTCTCTTGCCACCATAAAGTTGAGTAAAAGTCACCACCCTACTTGGAAATCTTTAAAGCATGGAGAAAGATTGTGGCCTTCTCGTAAAACAAGGTAACTATGGATTTGCATTTGTTCATTTGTTTGTTTGACGCTTCATGGTTTGAGACATCATAGTTGTGGTTGGTTTGTCCATTTGTCCACCCATTCAGTTGCCCAACTTGTTTTGGGGTGAGGCGTGTCAGGTCAGTGTCTCACATTAAAAGTTTATTGAGTTAAAGATTAATCCATAGTATATAATTGTGAGGTAAACATCACATCTACCATGGATTTGAATTTGTTCATTTGTTTGTTTGACGCTTCATGGTTTGAGACATCATAGTTGTGGTTGGTTTGTCCATTTGTACACTTATTCAGTTGCTCAGCCTGTTTCGAGGTGAGACGTGTCAGGTCAGTGTCTCACATTAAAAGTTTATTGAGTTTAAGATTAATCCGTAGTATATAATTGTGAGGTAAACATTACATCTATTGGATTACTTTGTAGCGACTTAGGCGCCATTTAATACTAAGTAATAGGTATCGTTGTTATTTTGAACTGTTAAGTGAATTGATTTGTGCACTATAGCAATCAACTGCAACTGTATGTTTTTGACAGTCCATGGACCAGACGACGTGATACAAGTGTAGTATTTGCTCTGGATACAGGCAGAGTGCCCAGTAATGGTGACAGCGGTGGTCTAGGTGGTACTCGTTTAGGAAGGATAGTGGGTGCAGGAGGTCAACAGTTTCTGGCTAAACTTAATTCGGCTAGGAAAAATTTTCCAGTGAAGATATTTCTGCTTCTCCTAGGTTTCTACACAGCAAATGCATTGGCGACAATCCTAGGACAAACAGGGGATTGGGATGTATTGGTAGCAGCAATTGTTGTTGCTGTGATTGAGGGGATCGGAATGCTAATGTACAGAAAACCTTCGTCTTCTTTTCTTACCGAGAGATTGCAATCTCTGGTAGGGATGGTTAACTATTGGAAAGCAGGTGTTTGCTTGGGCCTTTTTGTAGATGCTTTCAAGTTAGGCAGTTGATTATTCCCCTGTGACATTTTCTTTTTGTAAATGAGCCCTTAAATCATTGTTTGTAACCCTAATCTCTCTCTATCTCTTGTTTGCCTTTCACCAGCAGAGCTTGTATAGAGGAAAGCTTCATACCTTTTACCTCTTTTAACGGTAAACAAAAGAATACTAATTTGAATTAAATTCACCCATGCAGCAAGGAAAAGTTGTTAATCCAGACAGGCGTGGACCCCCCCCCCCTCCTTCCTTGCTATTTCAAATGTAAAAACAATACTGGGTGGAAACTTGTCAAGTGGCCACTGGCCAGACTTCATAGAGTAGGGTATTTTTTGGTGAGGGGTTTTAGAGGACAGGGAAGGTGAGGGAATTGCTTTCCCTTTTTTTTGGGATTTCCCTTTATATGGGGCGGGGGGCGGGAAGTGGGGGGTGGGGTGGGGGGATGTTTATGTTTTTCATCATCTTCGCTTCATTTTCTCTCTCCAAGTCTCCAGCCCTGTTGAGTTCATTTTTTAAGATGCTAAGGATGTTTTTATTTGGATTGTAATTTGCCCTAGACAAGACTAGATTTGGATAGTTATAAAAATACAAAGAAACCAGACTAGATTAGACCAGATCAGACCAGTAAATTACAGTCCAAGTAAAAACATCCAATATAGCTACGGTTTCTTCTCATCCTCTCCTATCAAACAAAAGAAGCACAAAAGTACTCCACATTTTCCTTTCCCTTTATTAGGGGTGGACATGGTCCCTCAGATTGGTCGGGACTGAGACTAGAAATTAAGATTCCAAGTCGGGGCTGAGACCGGACCAGTGGGGAAGAGGTCCCAATCATGGGCCTCATTTTTTTGGTACTAGGACCAGTTACGAGTGGCCTGGTTCCGGTCTGACCGGCCTAGGAACCGGATCGGACCGCCACTGTGAGGGACCGGTTCTGGGCCTAGGACTGGCCCGGGGGATTGTTGGGGGCGGTTCCAAGCTGCACCTCCTTTAGTACCGGCCGGGCCGGGGCTGGTCCGGGCCTTTTTTTTGTTTTTTCAATTTTTTTGGGTGGTAGACGGATTGGGTGTTTGGGCGGGGGGGATGGAATTAATTAGAAAAGCTAAAAAAAATATAACCCTACCCGAGCTCGGTCCGGCCTGGCCTGTTCCCGGTGGAATCCCAGGCCGGTTCCGGGCCTTTACCCACAAACAAAAAGCCCGGTTTGGACCGGCCCGGAACCGGTCCATGCCTAGGACCAGTCCGGACCAACTCTGGTTTCATTATTTATTTATTTGCCTTTCAGTCATTGAAAATCATTGTGGAAATTACCCGTTTGAACCATTTTAACCTCTGAGATATCATTTATGACCCAGGCAAAAACGGTTTTCATCTTTAAACTTTCTCCTTTTCAATTCTAGTCACCCAGTCTAATTTTAATTTCAAAAATAATCTCCGCCTAGTCTCTCTGAAAAGCGGCCAAAACTGATCTTTTTCAAAACACGATAGGAAGCCAACCGGCCGGCCGTGTCGTGATGGAGCTCTTCAGCGATACGAGTCCAAGGATGGCCGAGAATTTTCATCCCTCTGCACAAAAGAGAAAGGAATCAGGAGTCCGGCAAACTGCTGCAGTTCAAGGGCTTCACGTTCCACCGTGCGATCCCCAATTTCATGTGCCAGAGAGGCGATTTCACAAGGGGAAATGAGACCGGGGGTGAGACGATTTCACAAGGGGAAACGAGACCGGGGGTGAGACGATCTACGGCGTCAAAGTTTGCAGACGAAAACTTCATTCAGAAGCACGCCGGCATCGACATCCTCTCTATGGAGAATTCGGTTGAATTGCTTGATTACAAACATATTTTGATAGATTTTTATTTGGTGGAGATTCTATTCAGATGTTTTAGAAATTAATTTACAATGTTGGTATTAATAGGTTCTGAAACCAATTTTCTGTTTACCTTCAAATGTGCTCTGCAGTTTGAGTATTCAAATAGCGTAGAACTTTAATATGAAGATAAAAATATTTAACTGTGTATTAGGGAGTTCATAGAGAAAACCTTGCAAAAATCTAGAAACTAATAGAAGTATTGCAGAAGATGGACTTTGTGTTCCTGTCAAAATGTCATCAGCAAATGGAGTAAACATGATCATGTTCTGTTCGTTGGATTTATGTAATTTAAGCTTCGTACATTAATCTGCCTTGCTGGCTCTGCAACAGAAGTGATTACAACCTTACAGAGTTACAAGTGTTGCACTTTAACCTTTAGAAGCAGTACAGGTTTGTGTACCTCAATATGTATTGCCATGTTTTGCTAGGGGTTGGCCGATGGGCATCCACAATATGTCTCATCTGAAGGAGCTTGTGGGTTGTACAAGGTGCTGGTTCCTCTATGGAGATGTGGGATTCCATATACGGTGATGCAATTTTCATGCTTTGAGACTATTGTTGAGTTGTACACCCTAACACTCAAAGACAAGTGCAGCAAGCCTTTTCAACTTGGAGTTTGCTTTCCTGGTAGGTACATAGCTTTTCAAAGTGGGGATTCTCGTTGCTTAGGACTTAGGAGATAATCTATTTGCAAAAATCTAGGTGGGATGAATAAGAATAACTTGTTATTGGGATGGTTTTTCATGATTAGTGGTATAATAGCTAAACTAATGTTTTTATGATGAGCATTATTATAATACATATATTGTTCCTACGAATTTTTATAGTCACTAGTTCTGGAAGAGGCTCCCAAACTTTGCTAAACTTTATTTGCCTTCCTTTTAGTGCATCAGTGCATGTATTCAACCCTTGTCAGATTATCTTTAAACTTTTTGCTAATTTGCAAAAAAAAAAATGTCATTTGATTTGATGCAGTTATGAATGTGAAAACAGATTGAATTGTATATTTGTCTCATTACGTTTATATGTTTTTGTTGCCTTTTGTTTCTTTTGTATGTTGCTTTATGTTGTATCGTGTTGCTTTCTGTTGTACTGTGTTGTTTTTTTTGTTCGACAGTTAATTATATAGCCATGAAAGCTATTCAAATTGATTCCACTACAAAAGTAATTAAAGAAAGAGCTCCCAAAGTTGAATTTGTGAAGAAGCACAAAGTGAAATATGGCATCATTGTTTTACTGGGAAAGAAGCGCTCAATGGATCGGTTTCCAGTTTTAGTTTTTTTATTCACACCCCATGTAAATGTATATATACTAAAAATCCAATTTAGTGGTACATTATTTATTAATGTTACTCCCTCCGTCCCCTTTTAAATGTCCCTGAGGAGGGTGGCACGGGTTTTAAGAAAAGTGGGTTTGTGTGGTTGATATTAATTGATAAAGAAAGAATAAAGTAAGAATGATTTTGAGCCACACAAACTTTACCAAATAAGGTATGAGACATTTAAATAGGGACATCCCAATATGGTAAAACGGGACATTTAAAAGGGGACGGAGGGAGTATATCATAAGGATAGTTCTCATCTTGAATGTGGGAATGCATATTCAAAACTGTGAAACTTTAATATTGTTGCTCTTTGTTGCATAGTGTCACTTTTTTGTTGCTCTTTTTGTATCATGTTGTTTTTTGTTTTATTATCCTTCTTTTTGTTGCCCATTGTTTATTTATTTGTTTATTATGCATTATTTCACTTTTATTGTTTATTTAGGTTTCTATTCATTTTTATTGAATTGAAAATAAAACACACCTATCTACCTTAATGTTATATTTTAAGAAAATCCACAAGAAACATGAATAAACAATAAAAAACCAAAATTTGCATATATATAAACAAAAAGCAACCTAATGAAACAACATGCAACAAAAACTAACAACAATATGCCCCGATGATAATAATGAATTTCTGAAACTAAAAATATCAATTAACAAAATTCATATTTCTTTTTACAATTTTTAAATTTATTACAAATTTTCTACATTCTATATATTTTATATACATTAATGGTTTGGCATTTTTTATTTTTTGGAATATATCTTTCGAAACCAATTTACAGTTTTTATTGATTTTAATTTTTTCTTTCTTTCTTATATTTTCTTTTATTTGGATATTTTGGATTTATGAATATATATTTTAAAAATGTTAACTCTCCTAAATAGCTATAATTTTTTCCATATGTTTTTATAATTTCAAAAATAAACTATATTATATTTTCGTATTACGTAGTATTTTATATACAATTGTTTTTCTAAAGATTTAATATTTTAAATATTTTTTAAAATATTATTTACACTTTGCAGTTTTTAAAAAAAGTTCCTATTTTGTTACATATGTATGTATTTTCGTTTTTTTATTAATTTCATATAAATTTCTTTTTATATTTTTGATTTTTTTACATTGTATATATAAATATATAAATTATGGACTATACGTTTTAAAATAATAACATTTCAAAAAATCGTATTATCGTAAAATTTCCTGACATTTTAAACTTTTTTATATGTTTATATTCAATTTTTTTTCATTTATCTACTTTTTTTTACAAAAATGTGATCATTTTTTAAAATTTTAATTCCTTTTTTAATTTTTTAATTAAATTTATAAGTTTTGAACTCAGCATTCTTTATATATTTTTTACTCTTAAGTATTTTCTTTTTCTATTGAAAATTTTCCAGTTATTTGCATTTTATTTATATTTTACTATTTTTTTACATTATTTTCTATTTTTTTCCCCAAGGTTTCATTATTGTGTATTAAAAAAACAAGAATTGAGTATTTCTTAAAGTTTGTACTTTGTAGGGCGTTATCATCGTCTTCATAGATGGTGTGGAATATTTGGAATCTACCGTGCACTTCTTAATCGTATAGTGACTATAGTCTCGAGGCTCCAGCAACGGCTATGACATACATCGGATATTTGTGAAAAGAAAATGAACGTGAGTCTATTTTTGAAAGAAATTTTGAAAGGTGATAAAAGTGATATTGTTTTCCCTTTTTAGTCTATTTGTGATAAATTCCCAAAATCATTTCATAAGGATTTGGGTCCATTTAAAAGCCTAAAATGGGTGGAATGGGGTGGGTAGGGGATAGAGGGTTTAAAAGTATTAGAGAATTTAAAAAGAGACCGGATTGTGATCAAAACCAAAATCAGACAGGATCTGGTTTGACACCGGGACCGGACAGGTTGTGAATCGGGACTGGCTTGGAAACAAAAATAGAAGTCTCCGTCCCGGACCATGTCCATCCATACCCTTGATGCTCTCACACATTGGTTTGATTGATATTATTAGAGTTTAAAAGAT